AATATCAAATTAAAATCCTTGGTTAACCTGAAAAATGAATGTTTGAACTCAGAGTAGTGAGAGGAGTCTACATTTAATCTTTAATCCCTGCTGAGATTAATGTACGTGTTGCACGTGTGTTGCACAAGAAAAGCCGCATGATTAATCAACCCATTGCACATGTGTTGCACGATTTTTATTTTTCTATTTAAATAAAGTTTTGTTTGAAAGGATTAATATGAAACATGTATAGTATTATTTTTCTCATCTCACTTAGAATTAACAAATTTTAGAACTATTCATTTCCTCTAGATCTTTCTACATTTTAGCAGAAGAACTCGTCTCTGTAACTATAATAGGATCCAGGGCTTGTTCCAGGCTTGGTCCTCTGTGCTTGACAGTCGCTCCCACAATCGGGTTCATGATATGGAGGAAATGGCGTAAATTGATCGAGAGGAGGAGTTATAATTTTTTTTTTCATTTGGATAGAGTTTTGCTTCAAAGGAATAATCTGAGACATACATAAGGTATGGCTGGACATGAACGACACGGCGAAAGAGGCCACATAGTCCACGACAAGCAGCGATACACCTGTGCGGATTGGATGGCGCTCATCAACTTCTCCTTCGATTACTCGCCATTTGATTCGCTGTTGTTGGCTGACATCTTCGATTTCCGGAGCTCCGGCTCGGGCTTGTTTGATGAGTTTTCTAGGTTTGGAGATGGGATTTTGAAGGATGATTATGATTATGGCTATTTGATCGCCAACCTGGGTGACGATTTGGGGCTCAGGTTCGTGTTCAGGGTCTCTAATTGGAACTTCAACAATCTTTTCCCCGACATCAGGGATATATTTTGGTCTTATCCTCTAGTAGCCCATATGAGAGTATTAAAAATGGTTAATACCACGAAAAATCCAAAACTAGTTAACTTGTGACAGATTTTCCCCATACTAATTTTTTGACTATAAAAAACCCCAAACTGGTATACCTGTGACAAATTTACTCTATGTTAATTTCCGTTAAATTTTACCTTCAAATTGTTGAGTTGGGTGACACGTAAGAGTTAATTGGTGTACTAGTTTGGGGTTTTACCCCTCCGTTTATCACATATTTACCAATTTGTGATTTTTCGTGATATTAATCCAATTTTACGAAGGGTAAATTTGTTTTGGGGTTTTTGGTGGTCAAAAAATTAGTTTAGGGTAAATTTATCATAAGTGTACCAGTTTGGGATTTTTAGTGGTCAAAAGATTAGTTCAAGGTAAATCTGTCATAGGTGTACTGATTTAGGGTTTTTCATGGTATTAACCTTTAGAGAAATGTGAGAGTTTGTGAGGTTATTCTTCCGTGAATGTCAACGGTGTTTGGCCTTTTTAATCAATTACTTTGTTTTTATTTGATGTATAGTAGTGTAATTTAAAACCCTAAATTATGTTCATTGTGACATATTTATCATGATTTTTTGTTGTGATGTCAACAATCTTAAATTATGCCCACTATTACACATTCACCCTAAACCTTTTCTTGTGACATAAAAAATCCAAAACTTGTAACATATGTAACACATTTACCCTTTGTCAATATTTTGTTAGATGATTTTTCAATCAAAACAATGTCATTTTTTTTTCTTTTCACTTGAGTCACGTGGGCACTATGTCAACACTGTTTGCTTTCTAGTATCTATGTAGACAGATTTTTAACGATTCTCATTGACAGAACTTTCACGGGAGGGTAAATGTGTCACACATGTACAAGTTTGAGATTTTTGGTGTCCTGGAAAAAAGGTTTAGGGTAAATGTGTTACAGTAAACATAGTTTAGGATTTTTGGTGACTTTTTTCCTTTAATTAAAAGTTAAAAATATAAAATCAATTAACACTTAAACCTCACTAATATCTTTCAGATGCCATTTTAGAGCCTTCCCTCTTATCCTCCATGAGTTAATTACTTTATGCGACTATTCTACTCGAGCCATTTTGACCGTGGCACGTGATAGGAAGCACATGCAAAACAAGTTTTTCTGCCTCTTTTTTTTATTTTTTATTGTCTATTTTCAGTAAACATCACAATGAAAGAGGAATCATGCTTGTGAGCATGTTCCTCCTTTTTAGTGCCCATCACACGTTAGTCAGATTGGATGACTCTGGAATATGTCTGAATTATTTCGTCCTTAAATTTTGAATCTATTGGACTAATAGTACATTTTGTAATAAAGTAATTTTTTTGGCCATGTAAAAAAAAATATTGAAATTTTTTTCAGCCACGAGTAAAATCCCTGCGCCTTCTTGTCAATGGGGATTATGAATCGCATTCTAACAAAGTGATGGGTTATTGCCCTCACATGTTCAATTCTAATTACTCCGTTTGAAACTTCTCCATCGGTCATGCATCAACGCCCCTCGATTAGCAAATCACTAGCTTCGTGGTTGACCGACGCACGCAAAGACTATAAGTTCGATATTGGCATTCACAAAAAAGTAATGTTTACTTACTCATTGTCAATGGCAATATTATCCTAGTAGATCGATCAAACACTCTCTGGTAACTGAACTAGATTTGCTAATAAATGATCTCAACCACTCAATGAATGGAAAAATTGAGCACGGTAGGTTCTACGAAGACGTACATATACTCACAGGTATCAAATACCATCTTGCACTTGCGAAAGGACATGATTTGCCACAAGCCTAAGGCCTTTCGCCAATAGCTTCATGCCTGCAATTTTAATCAAGAATCTTCATTATAATTTTGTCTGATAAATAGCAGTCATGGCTCCACGAAGATCTTTGGATGCAGTTTCAGCTGTAAATATTGGTACCTGGACATAAATTAGAAAAGCATTGAAAAAATTTGAAAAACAGAGAGACGTTTTGTAATATAGGGGCCCAAGCCCATGTCTATTATAGCCAAACTCAGCCCATCAAATTTCCATCAGCCCAGCCCACCATTTCATTTCCTACGCAACAGATGAAGAGGAATTCGGCGGAGACAACAAGGAAATAAAAAGGGGACGCTCGTTCGTGAAGAAGATAAGAGGAAAAAGGGAAAAGGAGAGAAATTTTTGCGCGTACATGATTCGAGCGTTCCTGAGAAGCCGAATTAACTATGAATTGCAACACCGGGTAAGTATTCGAGCCTATTATTCGTTTAATCAGAATAGTTTTCGAAGTTAGGTCTTAAATTTGGAGTTATGTGAAAGTTAACTGCGAGGTTCGATTGAGGAATTATTGAGCTTTAAATTTATATGGAAATGATATATAAAGGCATTGTGGAGTTGTGGGATATGACGAAAATTGATTTCGAAGTATGGTTTGTTTGGAACGAAATTCGGAAGTTTTACATGCGAGTTACTCGTAACTAATAATATGCATAAGGAAAAAGATGAATGTACGCTATAAACGAGCTTCTTTTTTAGCGCTTAGGACTTGATTTGTTGACGGTTGAGTGTGGTTTAGTCGATCATTTGTTGGAGTAGTGTTTTACTTGAATTTTGATATCGTTTTTTGGTTAATCGATGGGAATACGAGTGTATGGGTTTGAGTAACCGTCGTAGGTTGGTTTTCGGCTTTCCTAAGTAAGTGGTACTGTATCTTATATAAATTTACAAATTCATATCTTTAAAGTGGTAGAGATTTAATATAGTTGAGTTATGAAGAAGCATGTTTTTTGCATAAATTAGATAAAACTTTATTTACCTTTTCAGCCGATTGAAAAGGCCTTTGAAAGCCTTATTTGAAATAGTTTAAAATGATCATTGGTGAAGGTTTTGATTAAATATTTTGTGAAAGGAATTGCCAAAAGCTATGTGTTGATTGCGAAATGCATTTTTTTTATAAATGAAATTGTGAAAGGTTATATGATATGGTTTACGAAACTGGTTAATGAGATAATTTGTGGTTTTGGTTGTGAATTATTGGAAATTGAGATTGATGAATTATACTCATGTCGTTATGATTATAACCCATTGAGGGTGGGAGTATGCATATTGTTGTCAGGACATCCTTCTAAGCCGAACCACTAGCTAATATAGGTGATTAGCCAAGAAGGGTCAATTTGGTCGTCTTTATTATAGACGTTAAGCATGACCATAGTTTGATATTGAGTATTAGATTAGTCGATGGAATGGACCATCGACATTTGACTTGATGAGATTGATGAATGGAATAGACCATTGATTGTTGATTTGTTATTGGGAGTTAATATTGTTGATTGATCTTATACATAAAAGTTTTGTTGAAAAGATATCATTCACTTTTGATATATTACATATATTGTATACTAGATTTGGAATCGATGAGATATGATACTATTTTATAAATGTGCATAATGAATGTTCGATCCATTTAGAAGAGATGTATCACTCACTGGGCTGTGGTTAGTTAAACCATTTTTTACAAATCTTTTTCAAGTCCCTTAGTTAGCATCAAGTAGGATGAGAGCGCTGATAGCAGGAAACTTTCGGTAGTTGAATTTTGGGTTTGCGTTCGAGATGTATAGATACGGCTTGTTGGATTATAGAAACTTTGATATGTTGTTTTGACTTTGAGGTTGCGTTCTTCAGGTAAAGAAAATGATGGCTGCGTCACCACCCCTATTCCTGTAGGACTTGGGGTGTGACACATATCATGTTGTCACTATGGATCGAGTCCAGTATGTTATCGTAGAACAACTAGCTGCATCAAATTCATGTGATAACGAAGCGAGGAATTACCACATTCCCTATACCGTCGCCAACCTTCCCATATCCAGAGCAAGTGCCTCTTAATTTACTCAAAATTAAACAGAAAAGAGAGTTGGTGAGGGGAAAAATTGAGAATGGTTTAACATTTTACACCTTCTCAAAACTCTCCTGCTTAGGCCTTCGTGGGACTACCTGCTCAAATCTCACACAAAGCGTTGCCTCCACCAAAGAAAGTGCATAAATATATGCTTGATTAAATATTTTGGATCCAATAAACATTCCTCTTAAAGAAACATGCAACTTGTGATTGGACTTAATAGAAGAGGAAAGTTATATCAATTAGATAACAAACAGATTTATTAGAAATGACCCAAAAAATTTTAGCCATAACTATACCAACTGACACGAATATTATTGGAAGGAAACAGAAGAACACCTTCCAAAGAGACTGAATTACCAGAAGATGCATGTAATTCAATTATTTCTAATAGCCAAGAATTATTGTTTCTTGAGCTTCCTAGCTGAAAAACAGAGGAAGCTGTTCAATGGGTGTCGATCTTTATCACATGATGTTGCATATGCTCGGCGGGTCTGATGGGTCCAATGTATGTTGGGCTACATGGTAAACTGGGTATTGCGGGTACTCTATATAGGCCGGCGAATGTTGCCTCGGCCATGTGTAACCATGATCATGAATTGGAGAAAAATCTCCGATGTAATGCCAACAACTGCTTCCTTTGTCATCGCTAATTTGTTCCACTCTCAATATGGTCGCCTGCCGGAATTTCTTCCTGAGCGACTGAACCAGTCTGACCGGGTCTACTCCTTCTCCCGTCACGACCAGCTCGTCCCCATTCAACCCTCCTATCGACACGGAGATTATAGTCCCTGCCCAACAAGAAAATAACGAAAAACATTTCGTAAAAAAGGGTAAAACTCGTGACAAACAAAAGTGAACTTTTTGGGACGAGAGTGAAATCACTAACCCTGTGCACGAGCCACAACCCGTAAGGCTTCTGATCTGCATTTGTCGCTGTTCATTGGCATCCTTATAATCATCTTTTGCTGCACCATGCCCCAGCAGATCAATTAGCACTCATCAAACATGTTAGAAGCTTTTTATTATTTTTCCCTATAAACAATACAATCTATCAAACAAGTAATTAAAACATCATGTAATTACCTTCAGCTTCATGTGCGTTCTCTGAGTGTATTATATAGATATGTGAGATGGAAATGAGTTTAACTTAGAATGAACACGGAGTGTTTGATGGAAAATGGGGTTGAGTTGCATATTTATGGAGTCATCTTACAATTTTTTTAAGGCAAGAACTCTTGTAAATGATGATATCCAGTTACCATATTTGATGAGTTACCATACTTAGCTCAATAAGGTTTGGCAAAAGGGTATCAATAATAACTTTGTTTCCTTCCCTGTGAGGTGTACTAATTATGAAAGTATACTTTGGCTTATATATAATTATACATCTAATCTAGGTAGGTAATTTATTTCTTCAAGGACTTTATTCTTTTTATTATTATTATTATTTTTAGATATCAATGGGATGTCTCATATTCTTTGAGTAGCCGATTTGTCCTGATCGAGTGCCGGGTGATTATCGAAGATCTATTAATGACACATTTTAATCAAGATAGCAACACTTTCAGCAATAAAAGAAAAAGGAAAGGTAGCGATGCTCGGTCGAGACTCGAGAGCACTGTGAAAGCCTTTGATTCATTTCATTTCATTTTTTTTCCTTATTTCTTTTATGTAGACATATGGAACAATTCTTTATCTTTTATAAAAGTATGAAATTTGATGATTCCACGACAGAATTGCATGATCATGGTTGCATTTGAGAACGTATGTTTCAAATCCCTAATTTATTTTAGTTTACAGATTCCTTAGTTTTATGTGTCTATATATTTTTGATTTAGATAGAGTTATGTACGCTCATTAATTTGTCGAGCGCGAGAATAAAAAAAGCAATCGCATACGCGGGTGAGAGGGCTAGCCTCTTGGTAATTGAGAACCATGTAAGTGCTCCACTAGAGGAGATAATGGAAATTATTAGGCTCGATTTATGTGCTCTTAATAAACGATGAGTTTGTAGATTAGCATGTGGACGATTATCTACATGAGAGGAACAGTGAGCAAAAATGCTCATTTTAAGAATCCGTTTGTTTCGTGGAAAATGAATGATTTGGAAAATATTTTTCCTAAATATGATGACATGTATTGTTTACAAAAATGAATAAATGATAAAAATTTCATTGTCCATGAAAATATTTAGACAAATTATTTTCAATAATGAAAATATTTGCCATTAACTATTTATTGTAAACCATACAAGTGATCGTTTTTAGGGAAATTTTTTTTAAATCATTCATTTTCTACGAAATAAACTAGGCTTAAATGCAAGGAACCTTGGACCGAGATCAGCATATATTTAGAGCGCAAGAGGGTGAACTCCAACATAACACTTGACTCGGTCTAATCGCATGTGATGTGGAAGAAATCTGACGACTTGGCTCAATCGGTCTTTAGACTTATCTAGCAAGCCTAGATAACCTCTCCTTCATTTCATTGTTGTACTACACAGGAATTGCTAACAAATTGAAACTCTATATCAAATGTACTTGCGTTGTTGTGATGGATAAGAGGTGAACTATGAAGAGGATTGAAGGTCAATGGAACTTTTTGATATTTAGGATCACTAAATAAAGAATCCATAGAATTTAAGTAATAAAAAAATAAACTTGTTATTTATAGATGGATTTTTGAAAATGTAAATACGTAAGCACCAATTTTTTAGCGTCTAAAAACGACAAAAATTGATAAACTCCTAAAAAAGGAACCTGATTAATATTTGAATTTTAATATAACGGAGGACAAAAACGATACCTTTTAAAACTTTGAACAGAGAATAGTGAGAATTAAATTAGCCGCAACGCCCATCGGATGATATGCCATCATGCATCTTCATTTCCACATTGCAAGATAAATTGACAATAATTTCAACGGTGAAGGAAAAAGGGAAATTTCAAATTTTTATAGTACATCTCTAAATAGTTATGGTGATTTGAATTACAAAAAATGAGATCTCGTTCAGCCTACTCTTGCCACCCCAAAAGTGAAACATGTACTTAGAGATGGTAGACATTGAAATAAAAGAAGTGGGGTAGAATTTTGCTGCAAAAAAAAAGGTGGCGTAGAATTAAAAATTGTAAGAGAAAGGATGGTTTAAATCCAAAAGTCAAAGAGTGTGGAGACCTTCGACATTAGGGGAGAAAAGAAGCATTGCATTTGTTTCAAGGAAAACGTTTTCCGAAAAATCATTTTCCAGGAAAATAGTTAGTTTTTCTTTGTTTAGTAATATGTCATCGAAAAAGTTTTATGATATTTGGATCTCATTTGGAAAATGATTTCAAAATGCGTTTATTTCGCCAACCACGCTTGTGGCCTGTCGCCGAGGCTTGCGACTGGCGAAGGGAGGAAGAAGGAAAAAGAAAAAAAAGAAAAAAAAAGAAAAAAAAAGAAAGAAAAGAAAAAAGAAAAATAAAAATAAAATAAAAAATTCAGGATGAGCAATTCCGAAAAGTGTTTTCACCTTCTTAGATTAGGAAATTCACTTTCATAATTTTATACATGAATGTTTTCCTTGACTGGAAAGTGTTTTAAGTTGATTTATCATTTTCGGCGAACCAAACAGGTGAAAGTTTGAAAAACGAATTCCCGAAAAACACTTTCCCTTAAACAAATACACCATCTGTTCGTTTTGTGGAAAATGTTACATTTCTGACAAATTTTTTCTAGAAAAATGACAATATTTTTCGATGTTTGGCTAAAACCTGAAGATGAGCTTGAAAATATTTTCCACCAATTGGCATGGAAAAATCTAATTTGATTTTCTCGAGAGAAAATATCAAAAAAATGGATTTTTAATTTTTTTTTCTTTTTACTTTTCTTTTTCCTTCTATCTCTGCTGGTCAGCAACTGGCCACATGCGATGTGGAGCCTCGGGCGAGGCTCGAGACTCGCCAGATTTCGACAAGCTTGAGATTCGCCAGAGACTTTAGGGAGGCTACACCTCACCGGATTTGGCAAGGTCAAGTTCGCTTGAGGCCGGCGAGCTCGAGACTCGTCGAATCGGGCAAGTCTCAAGATTGTCGGCCGAGGAAGAAACAAAAACAGAAAAGAATAAAAAATTTAAAAAATCGACTTTTTTTAAAAAATAAAAATAATTAAAATTTGATTTTTTTAAAAAAATTTCTATAAGAACAAATGTATCATTACTCAAGGACCCGAGCCCAAGTGTCGAGAACTCACGCATGGCCTTTGTGGACCCGGGCCTAAGTGCTGGGATTAGAGCTCAAGCGTTGGGGACTTGAGCACGGCCTTTATGGACGCAGGCTCGGGTGTCGAGGCATAAGACATAGGCACTAGGGGTTTGGTCCTAGCCTTGATTGACTCGGGCATGGGCACCGGGGGCTCAAGTGTTGGCACAAAGGTCTCGAGCCCAGCCTTAATGGACCCACATTCGGCCTCGATGGATCCAAGCTCGGCCTTGGTGGACTCGGCCCGAGCATTGGAGACTCGGGAACAAGCGTTGGGATTCTCATGTTCAAATGTAGAGTTTCGGTTCCAAACGCCAATATTTAATTATATTTTGGAAAATGTTTTGCGATTTTTAAAAAGGGAAATTATTTTCCTGAATTTAAGCATAGGTTTTCCGTTGACTCATTTTTTTAAACGAACCAAATGCCAAAAAAATGAGGAAAATGTTTACACAAAACGAACAAAGCCTAACTGATAAACCGATCCACTCATCCATTACCTTTTGTCCAGTCTTATAGTGAGATTTCTCTGGAGAATTACACATATGCAAACCTTTAAAGCTGGAGGACATGAGCCTACTAGGAATATAACAGAAAAATGCATCCTTTGAATGTCATGACGCCGAGTTGTGGTTGAAGACGACTCGTTGACCTAATTTCCGATGGCAACTCTATATATTTATCAAGTTCACAAGACAAACACTATTGACAATTATTACTCGTCAAAGGAAAAATTATGAGATATGTTCACTAGAAGTCCTAAAACTTATCATTAAAGTGCAATTGAGTTCTAAAACTTACAAAATGTGCAATCGAATCCTAAAACTTGTCAAATTGGTTCAATCGAGTCTTAAAGTTAATATCGTCCAATTTGACTAACGAAAAATGCTAACGTAATTTTTTAATTATTTTTTCTATCTCACGTGGCGATGATGTGACTTTTTTATTTTAATATTAATTTTATTTAGATTAAATTTTAAAAAATAAGCTTAAAAAAAGGAGGAGGAGGATAGGTGGAGAGGGAGGGCTTGCCCTTCCCGCCGTCGCCCACCATCATCGGAAGCCGCCGGCGAGGGTGGGGGGACGGCAGGCGAGGGTCGCAGCCCTCCCCCAGATCAGGGGAGGGTCGCCCGCCCTCGCCCAGACCTGGGTGAGGGTTGCCAGTGGCGGCTGACCTTCGCCCGATCTAGGGAAGGGTCGCCACTGGCGACCCTCGACCAGGTCTGGGCAAGGGCCAGCGACCCTTGCTTGATCTGGGGGAGGGCAACGACCCCTCGCTAGCAATCGGCGAGGGTCGCCGGCCCCTGGCTGGGGCCCGGCGACCCCCACCTGCTGTCCCCCCACCCTCGCCGCCCACTCCCGACGATGGTGGGGCGGCGACGGGGGGAGGGCCCTCCCTCCCCGCTTGTCCTCCTCCTCCCTTTTTTTAAAAAAAATTTTAGCTTATTTTTTAAATTTAATTTAAATAAAAGTAGTATTAAAAATCAAATTTGGGCCAAAACAACATCGTTTTAGTTACATCATCGCCACGTAGGAGAGAGAAAATATTAAAATAAGCCACGTCAGTATTTTCTATTAGTAAATTTGAAGGTGTTAACTTTAGGACTCATTTAAACCAAATTGACAAATTTTAGGACTTGATTGCACTTTTAGCAAATTTTAGGACTTAATTGTATTTTGGTAACAAGTTTAAGGACTTCTAGTGAACATATCTAAAAAATTATCAAAAAAGTCATAAACCTATTGCAATTGTGATAATTCAATTTTAAACCATTTAATTGTGCTAATTGACTCCTCAACCTTTTCACGTTTTGTTAATTGAGTCCATTCGGCCAATTTTGGTCGGAAATCGCTGACGTGGACGCCGGCCGTGCCATATAGGACGGCTAGTGCTGACGTGTACGTATTTTAATTTTTTTTAATTTTTTCTTTTCTTTACTTTTTTTATTTTTTTTCCTTGAACTTAGAGCCTGATCAGCCTCACTCACCCAAATTGGGCGAGATCGCTGTGGCCTTCGCAAGATATGGGAAAAGCGTCGCGTGCCTTCGCCCTCACCGACCCTAAATCCAAGGAAAAAAATAAAAAATTCAAAAAATTATTAAAATATTCACATCATCGTCGTGCTATGTAAGATTGCAGGTATCCACGTCAGCGATTTCCATCCAAAAATGATTGAATGGACTCAATTGACAAAATGTAAAAAGGTTTAGGACTTAATTGGCATAATTAAAAAGTTCATAATTAAATTGGCACAATTGTAATAGGTTTATGAATTTTTTGGTAATTCTCTCCATCAATGGTTCTATGGCATTCATCTAGGGACCTCTCCCAATCCCGTCCTATTAAGTTTATGTTGTTTTCCAAATTCGTCCTAAACCCATTAAGGATTTTGACATTAATAAATACCAAACTCATCTCACTAAAGTAATTGGATATGATCAGCTGATTGTTTAGGGATGGAGATCGGACGGGTACAATCGGGTAGCCCATCCGCCCAAACCCCAATGAAACCTAAATGAGTTTTAGGTAGTGGGACGAGTATGTGACCAATTGAAAAAAATAGTTACGAGGATTGGGATTTTATAGTGTAAAAACCCGATACTGAACCCTATTCCTGTTAATGACTAGAAAACCATTATTTCCTTCATGGTCCATGGGTTAATCAATGACGATGTTTTAGTAATAGCCACCCCTTCAAGCCTAACTGCTCATAGGGTTTTTTAATTTCTATGGACATTTCTCTTAAATATTTTCAACCTTATATGAGCCGAGTCTTTAGGTTTCCTAATTGAAGGTTTATAGTGCATGAGTTTTCAGTAAGCAATCTTGTTCGCAAATTAGATAATTACTAAAGAAGTACTATGGAGAGTTGCGCCTACCTGATTACTTTAGTGAGTTGAATTGGGGATTTTATGTTAAAGTCCATAACATATTAGAGAAAATTTTGGAAAAAGACAAAAAGTTGAGGCTTGATATAGACAGAAAAAAAAGTTAAAAATGGATAGGAAGTGATATCTTCGGACAGGTTATGATCATGACGAAATTTGCTACACACAATTGTTTTTAGGGTGATGTCAAGGCCCCAAAGAGGATCCGTTGGTTGGAACACCCTTTTTAATGCAGTTTCAAAGTGAAAATGGAGGTGACATCTTGGATGGCAAGACAGAGTTTTAAGTGCATAAAATGAACGGTCCATCTGATCACAGTGACAGCGGACAGGCATCCTTAGATTCAGTAAACACACGAGTTCAACTAGAAAAACAGATAGAAAATGAACAAAAACAGAAGACCAACAGCTGCGATCTGACATCAAAAGAGAGGGAAAGAAAAGATAAAATCGATCTCAAAGCTGACGGGATGGTACCTCATCGTTAACGTTACAACGTTCAGGCCTTAAGACCAGAATTATTGCTCAAGAACAGAAAAAGCAAGCCAAACACCTTGAGCCACACCAATAAGGATGTCCGTTGTACTCTAGTAGGGTTCAACAGGCTTGCGGAAGTGTGTTCCAGCATAAACAGCTTCCGCACCGAGCTCCTTTTCAATTTGCATGAGCTGTGCATATATAGACACGAGTCATGACTAATCTAATGACAAGAAATGATCTACCTACAGGCAGCGCAACTTAATGTAACCAGGTAAAAAAACAGACGAACTATACGAACCCGGTTATATATAGCCCGCCGCTCAGACCTGCGTGGAGCTCCAGTCTTAATTTGACCCTGACCACAAGAATAATGCCAAAAGAACTGGTTGGTTAACGGTAAAGAAAGTCCATATAAGGTCAAACTGTTGCTGTGTATTTACCGTGGCCAGACCCACAGAAAGGTCGGCAATAAAAGTCTCTTCTGTGTCTCCAATGCGAAGTTCTGTACATTCGCCAAAGCAAAACATTTTAGGTAGGAATGTATTGGCTATACTTCGTCGCTGTCCCAGACTGCCGCAGCTAGCCATCACTCCCCACCCAGCTAGCTTTGACATCTTTACAGCTTCAATGGTCTCAGTAACAGATCCGATTTGATCAACCTGTTGTACGGTCATTCCAGTCAGTTGAATGTAGATATAGTCAGCTATGGATTGCGTGTTCAAAAGTGATGATCTGGGATGTACCTTTAGAAGGAGAGCGTTGCAAGTTCTCTCATTATTCGCCCTCTGCAGAGTATGATAGATTATGTGAGAGAGAGAGATAGGGGGAGGGAGGGAAGGAGGGAGGGAGTTGCATAGACGAAGTTCACAAGCTCACCACGAGGTTGGTGCCCCACAGATCACCTCGCACAATTTGGACATGTTCACCGATTTCATCGGTCATCTTTGCGTAGTGCTCCAAGTCATCCTGGTCAAAGGGATCCTCAATCGACACAATGGCGTAATCACACACGAGTGACTTGTACACATTACCGAGAGCATCTCCGGGGATCTTCTGAGATCCATCATTGTTCTGCATAAACCAATAGAAATAGAAGAGGTATCCTGTTTCTGGACGACTACAAGAACCACATATTCAAGCTATCGACATTCATGGAAATTGATTTCTTGAGGGAGCATTATCACTTATTAACTCTTCAGAAAATGCATTTGACAGCATAAACAATGAAAGAAACTAGCCTCTTCCTTGAAGTTCATATCATAGGTTCTATCTGGTCCATAGAACTCAGATGCAGCAACCTCCATTCCAATAAAAACCTGAAATAGAAAAGGTACATTATAGGAAACTCTCTGTAAGTCCCCCTCTCCATAGATGAAAAAGGCAATAAAGTTAAATACCCCCCCACCTCCAAAAAATAAAGAAAAAACAAACAAAATAAAAGTAAAATAAAAGTGAAAAAGAACAATGAAAATGCGTCCAACAGTATCAGATGGTTGGTCCAAGAACTCACTTTGTCATTGTAATCTGCATTTTCAATGGCTTCTTTGAGCAACTCTAGACCCTCTTCATTCTCCTGAATTAGCGGAAAACAACAAAGGTGAAAAGATTAACAACAACATTCTGTGAGAAGAAAAGTTGCCCCGATTTCATTGCATTTCGTAAAACAATACTTTCACCTTAATAAATCCACCTGCTTCACAGACATTAGTTGCAGCCTGACCATATTTCATCTTGATTACAGTCTAAAGCAAAGTACAAAAATCATCAATCAAACAAAGACTCGTCATTAAAAAAATAATAACTAAAAATGTGACGAAACCACATTAACCAACTTTCACTTTAGATGCTTGATCCTCCATTTTGTTCATGCTATAATGAAAGACAACGCAAACTAATGCACAATAACAGACAAGTCTCAATTATCGTGTCTTTTAACAGTTTGATAGTTTGAGAAGGGTTATTTTCAAGACAATTTGAAAAATATAGGTTTTAACACCTTCAAATGGTCGTACACTTCCACACCCATATTCATGGCCTCCTTAAATGATGAAGCTCCAACTGGAAGAATCATGAATTTCTGCAGTATAGGTGCGTAAGATTGAGAAATCCTAAAAAAGATATATTAGCAAATTGTAGTTAAGAAGCAGACTGCAGACCTGCATTGCAAGTTTGTTTCCAGCATGTGAGCCTCCATTAATAACATTAAAAGCAGGAACAGGCAATACCAATCGGCTGTTACCGGCAAGGTTAGCAATATGCTGCAACCATGAAAGGAGGGAAACCAAGTTAGCATAGTTTGATTTGAATGGACAGTGGAATAAACAGTAGAAATGATGAAGTCAACCATAGTCCTGCTACTAAGACTATCTCATTGTCTTATAACTTCAGTTATAGCAAGAACTAAGTTTCTTATAGTCTGTTGTAAATATCAATATACATTAGATGTTGCAGGACACTTTTTGCATGTCAACAATATGAACAGCATCCAAAATTTTAAGAGTATCAATTTAAATAACCAATTTTCAGGCAAGTATAATAAGTAAAAAAAAAAAAAGAATTAAGTGCTCGGATCAGAAACAGACAAAAGAAAACACAGTGAAAAACGGCTTTGCTGAAAGCACCTTGTACAGCGGAATTTTTTTGACAGCAGCCCCAGCTTTGCAGACGGCAAGGGACACGGCAAGTATAGCATTTGCTCCAAGCTTCACGAAAAAAAATGTACATCTCCCAATATCCGTCACTACAACATGGTTGATAAACAAGACAATTAAAACAAGTACCTTTTGCTTACACCAACCCCGCTCGTTTGCAGTTCCATCAAGTAGTTGAACCATGAAAGTGTCAATAGCAGCCTGATCAGTTGGATCCTATAAAAAGCATAGACAGAGAAAATTACAAATCGAATAAAGTAGTCACCTTGGGTGAGAAATGAAAACTCAGGCTAGCTTGCAACCTTCAATTGCTTAAAATAATCATGTCAATCATCTTGCAGTTGGACAACAAGTTAACAACTGAATCTTAAAGAACAAAGACCGCTGAAGGACAACTGTCATGAAATGGAAAGACGTTATAAGAAGATTATATATTAAACCAACCTTTCCAACTAGGTCAGGGCCGATGATTGTGTTGATATTTTCAACCGCCTAAATACACATGAATACAATGATGTTCGTTAGAACAATCGTAAAAACATAGCAATTGACACAGCAGAAGACAACAAAAAGAAATGAAGGGGTGTACAACCTTGGAAACACCCTTTCCAATATAAGCTGATCCACCAGCTCTCAGTTCGAGTGCCTCATAGATCCCTGAAATCAAGAGGTAACTTGGCGTAAACAACAACGCATTTGTTATATACTCATCGAGTCGGGCAAAGAACCAATTGGAGAATACGAAGATGATAGCAGATTCATGGAACTGCACACAGAATACCCAGAAATGTATTAAAATGAGGATTGTTGAAGCATAAATCTTACCGGTGGATGCATCGCTAGAAACAACAGCGCTAGCAAAGGCCCCGTTGTCGAGAGTCACATCGGCCTATAATAGATCACGTTAACTCTTAATTCACAGAAACAATTAAAAGCAGTCACAACTAGAAAGCGCACGATCTAATATTCTCTCACCTAAGTACTACAAAATCCAACTTGATGGCTGGTAAAATCTTCGTGGAGATCAATCAAAAAAGTCAACGTATTGACAGGTTTCGTGAATCGCAACATAAGTTCGTCGCCTACATGAACAACAACGAAGAAGGAAACATGCGGAACACTAACAGAAATGATGCTAAGTGAGCTTCACCAACTGACTAAATGAGATTCATCGATCACAGACACTATTTGCAAAGACCGAATCGAGAGCACACGGAACGAGAGAAGTTAAGCCGACGAGGGGCGAACGATCAAGCCCGTGAAACTTAGGAAGCGTCGAGACGAAGATAGAGAGTGAGCACGTTTATGTAAAAGAGGAGATGTGGACCCCATGCCATTAGGATGATGCATGAAATTTGACTAAATACGAGCAAGCGAATTAAATATATGTGCTCAATACAAAATTTTGGGGACTCCATATATAAACAGCATATGATCCTCCTATAAAAGCGACGTGGGCACGTGCAATAGTGCGCGAACCTCAATCATAGTTTTGCCACGGCTATTGAAGATCTGCCTCGCCTTGATGCACTTGATCGTGGCCATGAATGGAGCTCAAGTCCAGATCAGAGAGAACGAAAAGGACGATCGAGAGGAGAGTGAGAGACAGAGAGAGAATCGCGATGGACAAGTGTTAACAATGCGGGAGTCGCAATATACGAGAGTTAACAATGCGTGAGAGGCGATATTTATAGACCATCGAGGCGATTGTCGCAATTCTATGGAATATCGATGATCAGACCTGATCAAGAAATTCTCGAAGTTGTTGAGAGGTCAATTCGCTGCTTGACTACGGGGGAACAAGACAAATAAAGTGCATGGACCTCAAGATGTCATGCATGCGTCCTGTTGCATGCGTCATGTTTGAATGCGTCCACACGAGGGAAAATTATCCAAAAGTTCTAAACTTATTATATTTTTATCAATTCAGTCATAAATCTTTCAATTTTGTTAATTCAATACTAAATCTTTTACATTTGTACCAATTCAGTCTATCCAACCAATTATGCCCAGCCGAAGCTAACGTGGACGCCAACAGTTCGACCAACGCTAACGTGACAAATTTTTTTATTACTTTTATTCTTTTTTTTTCCTTTTTTTTTCTTTTTTTCTGTAGCCTTATTCCCTCGCCGGCCTCTGGCAAAGCTCGCCCCCACCGGCCACTGGCGAGGGTGAGCCTCACCGGCCCCTAGGTGGGCAAGGTCGAGCCTCGCCCAGCCAAGGCAAGGCTCACCTTTCCGTTGTGACATTCTGAATTTTGGCCCATTTTTGGGATTTATAGAACGTGTAATTCGTCAGTGCGCTTATAATAGAATCTCGCCCGGGAACTGATCACTCTCGGGTTCTTGTTTTTAAAATAGAGATTTTACTAGAATCGCACTCGATCGAATTTGGCCGTTATTTAGAGCCCAAACTTTGGTGTCGAATTTCTCGGAGTTCCGGGACGAATTTAATTGGACGGTGTCGATATGATTGTGGCCAGCCTCGAGATTGCCAAAAATAGTGGAAAAGTGAAATTTTGGACCGGGTGCGGATTTAGACTAGTAGACCTCCCTCGTAGTGTGTTTTGAGTTAGTTTATTTTGGCCCTTTGTCTTATATTATTATTTGGGGTTTTTCATAGACCGTTAGATCGTTTTTCGAATTTGAATCGTGTCCGTTGGATCGCGTTCGAAGACAAAAAAAAAATTAACTTTTTGTTCTCTCTCCTCTCTCTCCTCTGCCCGCGCACGTCCTCCCCATCATTTCGTCTGTATCTCCTTCTCTCTCTCTCTCTCTCTCTCTCTCTCTCTCTCTCCTCCCTCTGCCGCGCTGAGCACGTCCCCTCCGCGCACGTCCCACCCCTGCCATGCGCACGTTTCCCCCCTTCCCCAAGCAACCACTCTCTCTCTCTCTCCTCTTTCCTTCTTTTCCTTTTCTTTCTTCTTCTTCTTCTTCTTCTTCTTCTCCTTCTTCCTTCGCCCGATTGGTCCTGCTCGTGCGTCTGCTCGCCCGACCGAACGCCGCACGACCGCCCCTCCGCCTCTGCTAGACGCCGTCCCACCGGCAACCGACTCTGCCGTCCTCCTCGCTCCGCCGTGTCGCCCGGGAACGCCGCCTCGACGGTGCATCCTTCCCCTCCCGAGCGCGCGAGCTCAGCTCGTCGCCGTACTTGTCGCGGCCCGGCGTTGCCCAGCCGGCTCGTCTCGTTCCGTTCCGCCGCTTGTGATGTCGCCACCAGGCTCGGCCGCCGTCGCGCCGTCCCTCGCCCGCCGCCCGACCGGCCTGTTCTTTCCCCTCCTCCGCGCGAGTTGCAACTCGCCGCTCGCTCCGTGCGACCGAACCCCGCTGCCCGCCGGCCAGCTCGCCCGGCCAACTCCTCGCCGCCGCCCGACGCCCGAGCGCCCCCGACACCGCCGCCGAGCGCCCCCAACCGCACCACTCGCCTCAGCCAACTTCCTCTCCTTCCTTTAGCTTTCCGCCGTTCGCCGCCGCCGCCGTCGTCAGCTCGCCGCCCGTCGGTTCGACCAGCATGCTCGTCGCCGCCACGAGGTCGCCGTGCCGCCTCGTCACCGCCGGTTCGCCCCTCTTCCTCAGCCCCGACCTCTTTCTCTCTCTCTTTCTCTCTCCTTCACCCTCACCCCGCCTGACCTCTCCCCTTCGCTCGCCGCCGCCGCGTCGCCGCCGCGTCGCGCCGCCGTCGCCGGCCGCCGCCGCCCAGGCCCAGCCCCGGCCAACCAGCCCAGCCGTGGCCGGCTCGTCGCCCACGCGACCAAGCCGCACGCCCGTCGCCGTGCTCGTGCTCGCGCCCACGCCCGTGCCCGCGCCCACGCCCGCGCCCGTTGCCCGTGCCCGCGCCCGTTGCCCGTGCCCGCGCCCGTCGCCGCGCTCGTGGCCGACCGCCGTGCCCGCGCGTGTGCCTAGTCCGCACTGTTCATCCGGGCCATTTTAGGCCCGAGCCGACTTCTCCCTGGCCAAACTTAGGTAAGTGGCTACCTGAACCCTACCTAGTATTTTGGGTACTTTATTGACTTGTCTCGGGTTAGAACGGCTAGGGCGTGTTTTAATTTAATTATATTATGTTATAATTGTGCTATTTAAATTAGATTAAATAATATGTTTGACTCGGGTAATGGTGTGTGGCCGACTTGAACGTCGGGTTTGTGGATTGAGGTGGCGAATTGTGAATTGGACTCAGTGGTGATTATGGGTTGTTTGATGCAATTGGCATGAAATTGATTTAATTGAGTGGCGTGTGCTTGCCTGTCGATTCTAAGCCCGGATTGATCGGAGGGCTACGGACTTGGGACGTGTTGACGGCGGTCCGTGTGAAGTCATGAATGGCCGATGTGCCAAATGGATGCGGGCTTGAGACGTGTTGACGGTGGCCCGTTGAAGGCGTGTTGGACCGGGACGTATTTACGTCGGTCATTGGAATTTGAGCCCGGATTGATCGGAGGGCTACGGACTTGGGACGTGTTGACGGCGGTCCGTGAAAGGAAAGTGTGGCTTGGGACGTGTTGACGGCGGCCACTGGAATTGATTGAATGGTATGGCTTGGGACGTGTTGACGGCGGCCATTGGAATTGATCGAATTGTGTGGCTTGTGTGCCTGTGAGGCCGGACTTGAGACGTATTGACGGTGGTCTGTGAGAGGAAAGTTGGTTGGACACGTGTGTGCGATGTGATTGATTGAATTGGCTAATTGTACGTGTGGATGCTTGGTTGGATTGGTTGATTGCGAGTGGGAGTGTGTGTGCCGGGTGATGGTGATGTGGCAGTGAACTATTCTTGCATTGTCATGTTTGGACTAATATGCAGGGTTGGCACGTGGTTCTAGGCGAGGTAAGCTTATCCTGTGAAACTGGTTGTGTTGTCTGGTGACTCGCATGTTAGACTTGTCTGGGTACGCATTGGCCTACGTGGGGTATAGGGGGTTGCTTATTGAGACTCGTTCTCACGGTTATTATATAACCATTTCAGATCCGCGACCGTGAGTGATGGGAGACGCTGCAAGGGTATCTTGGAGATCGAGGACGGGTCGAGTGTCCCGTATTTTGAGTTTCCCCTTTTGTAGAGGAGTTAAGTTCGCGAACCATTGTCCCTTTTGATGAGCATTGTACGTATCTGCCAAGTGTAGGAATTATAGTTATTGTTTTGTGCTATTGTTACCCCTTGTCATTATTAATCGTCCGGGTTGTTTCTATTTGTTTCCGCGCGTGCCTAATCTCTGATATTTGGGTTGGGTCGGCGACGTGCCTGGGACGTCGCATTCAATAATCGACCATCGCGGGATGATTGCGCGCTCGTAGGGTGCGGGGCGTGACATCCCTGTTGATTTGGTATCAGAGCAAGGTCAGCTCGAACCAAGATGATCGAAGCTTGGAGTGATAAGGAGCGATGACTTTGGGGTAGCCGGTTAGGGAGACTTATTGGCCATGCGTTACCCAGACTGCTTGGTTGTGATTGCTGAGTGATATTATGCACTAATACGTGAAATGCAGGTGCGACAGGACTTGAGGTTAGTGCACGATCCCTGTTCTTTGTGATTGAGTGATGTTGTGATTGGCTGCCTGCTAAGTGAATTGTGTTCTGATTCACTGCCTAGAGCTTTAGACTGGTATAGTTGGCCTAGGTCTTTAATTCCCGAGGGGAATTATAGCAGGTAAGTGGGTGGTGTGAACCCTGTGAGTATTAGTAGCCGAGGTCGAGGTCGAGGTCGTGTAGGTCCGCAAGTTGGAGTTGTGGGGGATCCCAGATGGGATGAGATTTTGAGGGCACTCGAGGAAGTTGGAATTATAATGGGAAGGCAAACTGAGGAGCGAAATGCTACTGTTGCTACTGATGCTAAGGCCGCTATTGTCGCCGTTAATGGAAATGTTGGGAGTCAAGGTCAAGGGCAAGTTAATGCAGTCAGATAGATGCGTCAGCTGGTTGGAAAATATTTGAAATTGAAACCTCTGAAGTTCGATGGTAAAGGTGAACCTGAGGCTACATTGCTTTTGAGGTATTCGGGTGTACTGGTGAGGAGAAAGTGACCCTGACTATATATCAACTCTAAGGGAATGCAAAGGATTGGTAAGAGGGCCCCCGAAGTGGGATATTTCAGAGGGCATATTTTCAAGCTGGGGTGTCGTTATCAAGGCCTTCAATGGGAGGTACTTTCAGAGAGTGCACGTGGACAAAAAATAACAGAGTTTCTTCGGCTTCGCTAAAATTGAATGTCAGTCGATCAGTACGAGGTCGAGTTTGTAAGGTTGTCTAAGTACGCACCAAGGATAGTCGATGATCGTGTGGATAGGACAAGGAGGTTCCGGGATGGACTGAAACCGAATCTCCGCATTCAGTTGATGCTAATGAACTTAAGAGATTGTAATGAGCTGTATGGCAAGGCTTAAACAGTTGAAAGGGATATGAATGAGAGGGTTACCATATATGGATCGCGGTACACGCCAGCTAAGGACAATGGGAACTTTGGGAGGAAGCTTATGATCGAGAACAAGAGACTTGTCCCTTCGTTAAGAAAGAACTTTGGAAAGCCGAACTACTACTCCAACGCCACATGTT